AAACCCCAAAACCCCAAAACCCCAAAACCCCAAAACCCCAAAACCCCAAAAACACTCTCTAGTCTTGAACTAATAAGATATATTAAAATTTATACAGATAGCTTAGATTCTTGGAGGAAATCATGACAATCATTACAGATCCTCACCTTCTGTTTCTTCTTGCGAATATTACTATACTCTGGATGTTGTAGTCGGAAGATCTTCTTCTGTTCTTTGTCAAGGCCTGCTTCAAAAAGATCTTTGATTCTTACCCAATTTCCACAACAGTTATAGCAGAGGAGATTTCCTCATCTCCTGCAATGATGTTTACGGACAAAGAGATCAAACTCTCTTTTTCATCTCATGCATTTATGACAGTATTCATCAGGAATCCATCTGTTAAGTGGTAGGGTAGGTTTATCGACTGTCTTCAGGTCTTTGGCCTCCTCAAATGCTGAAGCAGGGTTTATCCTCATATGAGCTATCTGTGATTTAGAGAGTTCCTCCTGGACTAATTCAAGAAATGACGACTCCTTGGTCAACTCCTGGTTGAAATAATCAGCTAAAGTTATGGCTGAAGCTTACAATCAGCTCTATTTTTATATGAACAATTTGATCAATTTAGAGCTTCACTGAGATTGTCTAATTTTTTGTACTTTCTTATTATTTTGTGAGAGCTTTTCCTCGTCAAAATCTTTGATCAAGGAATCAAAGTAGGTACCTTAATTGCTGATCTTGGTGCAAAAGAAGGAATGTGCGAGTGAGTAGCTTTACGGATCTCACAATCAGAATTCAATGATTCCTTCCTATATTGCCTCTTTTTGGCTGCGATTTGTTGGGTTGGAGCAACCTCTTTTGCTGCAGATAGTTTAAAACTAAAATACGAGTCTTGTATCCTAGTCTTATATTCATTTTTGACAATTTTTGAGAAATTTTTGCCTGCTTTTTGTTCTGTGTTCACTGAATCTAGACCATGATTCGTCAGGAGTTTGAGGTGGAGAAATAATTATTTAGCTTACGCATCGTAGTCTGCTGCTTATAGATTTCATTTAGATTGTAGACTTGGTTGTAAATTTTCACCTAAAATGTGTAAAATTAAGGAAAAGAGGAAATTTTTAATAACCTATATTACATTATCAAGCTGCTTTAGAATTTCCAAACCTTCATATGCCCACCTTAACTGTCGCTGTAACAAAGTAGGGATCTGAGCATGCTCATTTTCCTTTATAGACATCATCATCTCTTGTAGGTCTAAATCAGTGATAGAATAAACCACATATTCCAAAATTCTTGACCCAGATTCATGAAGCTGAAGTAACAAATTACCTATTCTAGTGCAAACATTAACATTCAAGAAGTTACCCAAAACTCTTTTGATAAGGTTGATCAACTCGGACTGGATGCTATCAGCCGACGTCCTCGTACCCGCTCTAGTTCGGCTTCAGGCCTCTTGAGTTGTCTGAATAGATGCTCTTCAGACTTGTTCAGCAAAAGTAGTCTAAATAATCTACATTCTGACCCTACCTTCATGTTGGTTTATTTTAGTAATTTTAGAAATTTCAAATTTATGCAAAACTTTGGGGTTTTGGGGTTTTGGGGTTTTGGGGTTTTGGGG